TGACTCTCATGAGAAGAATGGTATGAAGGGGGCAAAATGGAAGTCGGAGAGACCAATTAAGAGATTTAGAAGTCATTTAGGCTGGCATCTTTGAAAGCTCAAAGTGCAGTGGTGGCAGTGCAGAAGGAGAGGGGACAACTGGAAAAACTAAGAGTAGAGCAGGTAAGACTGGTAATGATAAGCAAGGATCCAAGATGAAGCCCAAGTTTCCAGTAAAAAATTAAAACAAAATTAAAAATTAAGTTCAATTTTCAATAAAATAATATTTTAAACCATTTTCTAAAACTATTTTGTGAAGACAATGTTAGAACATGTTCAAATGGCAAAATTCTAATAAAGCACTCTTTTTATGTACCCATTCAAGAAAAGAGTTCATGTGGAAAAAAATGTGCACAGGAATATTTAGAAAACTGGCCATAAATAATATGACATAGCAGTTTCTGTAGTTATTAATTTGAAAAATCAAAAATGTTCTTTTAACAGTGAAATGTCTAGAGTTTTTGAAATACTGAATTAGGAGAATGATTTATATAAATAATTTGGAAAATTGTGCATGTTCTTTATGCTAATTGAAATCCTTATGCTAAAGTATGAAAGGTCATTTCTGATTATTTAAATAATTTTTGTCTAAGAAAGTTCAAAGAATAGCACAATGAACATATTCAGCTCCAATTTAACTCATGAAGAAAAACATGATTTAAAATTTGTGTACTCAATTCTTTTAAAAAACATACTAAACGTTTCATGTAAGAAATCTTTATCAATATGTTTTATAACCCTAAATATATTACATTTTAAAACCAAATCTACATTAGCATAAAACAAATCCAATTTCTAATTATAGTTAAAAATTAAACATGCTGTATGTTTCTTTAATCTGAAATCATATATATCTAATAATAGTGTATCATTTATTAATTTTTCAGGTAAGATAAACATTATCATTTATCAGGCATCTTTAATAAATGTCATGTGTTTATAATTTCAGTATAATATATAAGCAATAGAGGAGAAAGTATTTTTAGATGGAGTAGTTCATTCCAGATGTTACCAAGGTAACTAAATTCAACAGGTTTATTATTTCATTCCTGAGTAAATCTGTATGTTTTATAACGAACGAACGAATGATTTACTCATTTATATCAAATATATACATTAACATATTTCATAATTTAAATGGTAAAAAAACAAAATGTCTCATGTCACTGTTTTACAAATCAGAATTTAAAACAAATTTTTGATGTCCTTATTTGAAAATTTTAATATATAGCAGCAAGCAGACATTAAACCGAAGATAAAGTGACAATTCTATATTGTCTAATTTCATGTAACCACCTTAATGGTTTTTATTCTCTCTTCCTTAAAGATACTTTTTAAAAATTTAAAACCATAGACCTTAGACTCCTGCTTATCTCAACAATTCACATCAGTTCATCACTTTAAAGGGGTAATCTGCTTCCTTACCCAACATAGTTTTCTCCATCCTGAGTGTCTACTGGCGTGTAGGTACCGGGCTGCTACAAAGAGCGTGTAGGTTTTATATCTGTGGGTATGGCCTTCAGATTAACTGGCCCAGGGTGATGGCTCGTTTCTCAAGGTTTCAGCCTGAGTACCATAGCATTTGAATCAAAGACTCTGTATTTAAGTCCCAAGGAAAGAACAGCACCTGAAGCTTTGGAAAATAAAACTGCCTAGGGTACCTAGCAACAGAGAAGAATGTGGAATGTGATGACAGAGTAGTGTACAATCTAGTGACATCAGGAGGGCAGTTGAATGTTTGGATTTAATTTATTCAGAGGTTAGTTTTAATGGGATGGATTTAGTATTGTGGAGACTTGTTGTGCTAAATAAGCTCAGCTGAGACTCTTGTCCAGAAGGTCTTAAAGCACAATAAGGGATAGACTGTTCATTTTCTTTTTTCTCCTTCCCTACCCCACATCCCTGAATCAATTAGTAGAGACCCTGGAAATACCATGTTTAAGTTATTTCTAACATCCCCACCAGAATTTTGTACAAAGGTAATTTCATCAGCACCTGCAAGAATG